ACTAAACTTATAACTGGTAACGTTTTTGGTTCTTGTTTTTATTTTTTGTTTATGTTTTGGAATAAATTGAAAATGGGAACAAGAAATAAGAAATTTGTTTTTCTTGTTTCAAAAATTTCTATACACTTTTGAAAATGCTTTTAAAAATGAGAAGCAAGGAACATAAATAATTTTTAAATGTTTAAATTTTTTAATAAAATTAGAAATAAAGAAATAAGAAACAAGAAACGGGAACGTACCAAACTGACTCTTGGTGACCAACCTAACATAGTTCAATTGGTTCATGTGCAATAATTCACAATCTTGTGAATTATAACTTTATTCATTGGTAAATTATAAAGTACTGTACAACATATATTTATAGACTTTACAAACTGAGTATAACATAAAGTAAAACTCTTATAACTGTACATAATAGAAGAACAATTTGATATGTAAAGCTACATATAACATTATGTACCTATCTTTGATATAAAAGTCGTGACTTCGAATTTCCACCTCTCTTGATATTGTGTTTAAAAAACCAGAGAGAGAACCTAGCCAACATAATCAAATTTATAACAACTTCAAAGTGACCTACTGTTGGGATTAGAGAAAAACATAATAAATATATATAAAAAATATATATATCAGTCACATGGAACGTAACTCCACCATAAAAATTAACATCCCAAAAGATTGTCAGAGTTGAATAGTTGTGGAAGTTTGTTTGGTAGATGAGACAAATAAATCATTTTTGAAATTGGAGTATCTCATCGTCTTTCTCTGTAGTTTTCTTTTCTTTTCTTTTCTTTTCTTTTGGTTGGTAGTCTAACATTGAAATAATAAAATAAAGCATATTTATTGACAAAAGTTCAAGTTTATTACAAAAATACCTAAAAGTAAATAAATACAATGAATATCAAAATCATGATCATGCTAGATATGGATGTCGGAGTACATATCAACCGTCCATCTCCTTGAAGAATCTCGAACAAAGCACTTTCCAAGAAAATCCTTTCCTTCTTGAGATAACTCTTCTTGAATTTCGGGTACTTTCGTCCCAAACACAAGTTTGGACATCAAGTATATGAAGTTTTGACAACTATTACATGCTTGTTTTCCACTTATCATATCTATTAAGATATAACCGAGAGACCAAACATCGAGTGGAGTGTTGATATCAGAAGGTGAAGCAACAACTTCAGGAGACACAGATACCTCAACGTTCCTCTGATTCTCGACCTAGAATTCTTCGAATACACTTCCACGTCTTCACATCTCTTAGAAAGCTCAAAGTCTGCTACTTAATTCGACTTCATCTTGCCATCTTCTTGAGGGAACACAAGAACATTAGCAGGTTTGAGATCAGCATCCACAAACCCCCAACCGTGAATGCATGAAAGTCCTTTCAACATCATTTTGAGATACTCCTTCACATCTTTCTCCGACAGCTAGGTATGTTGTTTAAGTAAGTCAGCCAAAGCACCTCCAATAGCGCCAGCGTACTCCAATGTGAGATTGTAAGAAATAGAATAGAGGGAAGAATCTCCGCTTCTTCCATGATAATCTAACTCTCAAAACACTGGAACATTTGATGAAGTGCTCTAACTCCCAAAACACTGAACGATTTTGGGACATTCGATGAAGTGGTCGAGAGCATATTTTTCATTGAAAAGGGAAGAAGAATCTTGAATGGAAGCAACCTTGAGAACAACATTGTGGACTCCTTGTTTGATGAGTTTGGCTAAGAACACATCGCCAAAGGAACCTGCACTTAAAACCTTCAATCCAACGCAACTCCCCATTATAATTAAGTTTTTTGGATTATTGGATGGCGATTAAGAGGAATTCATTAATGGCTATAAGAAAATTAATTAAAAGCCTTCAACTTTTAAACCTATCTTATCGATTTTATTTTATTTTAATTTCTGATAGTGCTTTTATCATTTGTATTTTTAAAATTCAAATCGGGTTTGTATGTTCTGACAGTTCATATTTTTAATGTTTGTTCTTTTAATAAAAACTTGATTTTAAGTTGTTTTTAAAAATTTGTTCTCTCTTTTAAATATAAGATTCAATTTATCTAGAAAATACAAGATTAAATCGGTTAATCTGCTATTTTTTTTCTTTTTTATTTCCTTCTTTTATTTTTTAACAACTATTTCCTTCTTTATAAATTCAAATAAATACATTATATTAAATATTGATTAAATTATATAAACTTAATCCTGGGAGGATTGCATCTATTTAAATCTCTAAAGGTAAGTTTAAACTACTACTCCCCTCTTTTGATTATGTTTCTATTTAGTTCATGTAATTAATATCATTAACAAAACTATGGAATGAATTTTATCATTAATAAATTTTATCTCCGTTTCTTTTTTTTTATTCCACAGGTGAAATTGTAAAAAGTATTTTTTAATTTTCCCTTGTTTTCTTAAAAAATTATAAATAAAGAAAAGTTTCTCGTGGAATTGAACACTCCAGTGAAGAATTCCTGCTCTTATCCCTGAAAAATCTGGGTTTTTTTTAATATTATTGTAAATGAAACTTATTTTAAAAATATAGTTGTTTAATTAAAAATATTGTAGATTTTGAAACTTATTTTAAAAATATTGTAGTTTTAAAAAACTGAAGGTTGGTGGTCTCTTCAAGAGACGACCATTTAGACGTGGTGTCTGTGGTACCACGTAAATTTTTTTAAAAATTTGAAGGTGGTCGTCAAGAGACGACTATCCGATCGGTTCATTTCTGGAAAGAAAAAATATAAGTTTTTATATTATATATTATTTAGTAGTTTTAATGTAAAAAATTTCTCAATGGTGTAGTGGGTGTAATGCTACCTTAATATCTCTTTCGTCCCGATTCAAATCCTGGGTCACACAAGAAATTATTTTGGAGAGTCATCCCCATTCCTGTGGGCATAATACTAAAAACTTTCCTATACAATGTGTAAAGTTCATAAATTAGATTGTCTAAGAAAGAATTTTAAAAAGAAAAGAAAAAGAAAAAGAAAGCTCATAAACTAAATTTATAGTTTAATTTTAAATATTTTTTCTTCGCTTTGAAACGGAAAGTAAATATATAGTATTAAAATCATGGGTCCAGAGTTTCCAACCAAAAAAAAATCAATTTTTGATAGAGGCCTTTTTAGTATTATTCTTATTATTTTGTTCTATTTTTATTATCACGATTCATAGGCTTTGAACAAAAGTTTTACATTAAATGAATTCAAATTAATAAAATGTCAAGAGGTTATTATAGATTTCCGTAATTTTATTATTTTTGGTTTAATAATTATTATATTTTTTTAAAAGCAATATCATCCTCATTTTAGCTACGGCATATAAAATACATCAATAACTGACAGTTATTGTACTAGAAAAATATGTACAATTTTTTTTTTATTACGCATGACCAAATAATTCCAATTATCATTGCCTCTCATTCTATTAATAATCAATTATGTAATAATAAGTATAGGATTTTATTTGGTACCACCGTTTCATTTATTTTAGTTGAAATGAGTATATTTTTASGATAGTACTTTTTTTTTTAATTGTGGTGTTATTGCTAATGATACAAGAGATCGAGATAATTTGATTTTTTTTCCAACAAATATGGGATGAAGATTTGACAAACCTTCCACTTACATGTGTAACGACTGAATTTGCGAAATAAAAAGTTGGAGATTTGTAGAGTTCCATTTTCTACSCATTTCATATATTAGAGACTTACCGAGTATAAATATGTTGAATATGTTTGAACATTTTTCCAAGTTAAAAACCTAAAACACATCTCATCATAAAACAATCCCATCAAGTGAAATGCTA